AGTTCGGAATATGGCTCCTGCATCTACAAAATAAATGATTCCCATTTCCTGGTCGATGTCTAGTGAGTCGAGAAAGCCAAAAGGCCTACCCTCAAAGCTAGTAACAAGTGGTGTAGCGAGCCCTCCGCTTGGTTTAACCACCAACAGTCCATAATATGCATCAGTTATGTATAGATCACCAGTTTTGCTGTAAAATCCAAGGCCATACGGTCTTCCACAAGAAATTTGTGATATTGGGTCATTTGTGCCATTACATATTTGCTTGGTCCTAAACATATATACATTATATATGTCAAAATATCAGTCTTTGAGAAAAAGTAAAGTTTGTGAGTCGCTAATTCCTATTTTGTTCTTAATAGTGAATAAGAAAAAGGTCAAGCTTAGAATTGGAAATTAGTTACCTATTTGGTGATGTAATAGCAAATTCAGTGAAGCCAGTGTTTGGACCTTGATATTTGAATACTCTGCCATCTCCAACACCAGTGTAAGGTCCATCGCCTTTTGTGTCGAAAGCAGCAGAGTCAGGGCCAGAGATTCGTGATGGAAGTTGGAGACGTGAAAATGCACAATGAACAAGATAAGGTGAGGCATTTAGGATTATCAAAATCTGGAGAATTAGGGAAATTGTTTTTGTAATTGAGACTATCTCCATGTTTCTATTGTATTTTTAATAACATAAATCAACTATTGATATTTATACTAGCAATTGCTCACCACCCCTAGCTTGACTCGAGTGTTGTATACATTTGATTTATTTATTTAATAAAATGTATGTATTTAACAAACTCACATTCGTTCTCAACATTAAGTCATGACATTTTATAGAATCTTAACAGAAAATCTGTCTATGATCGAAAAAATTCTGAACTCAAAGACTTTAAATCATTTATCTCGTAAAAGCACGGAAATATTTGCTTTTTGACATCTCTGTGTTTTCTAAGAAACATTGCTTGACGTCTGAAATTACCAATAATGTCAATACTAATCCAACTTAACGTCCTAAAAGTTTATTGCTAATAATATATACATGGGTACGGTAAACATTGGAATTAAAATTTTTGATATTATGATATTTGATAATTATTATGGCCATTTGATATGTTTTTAGTATTTGTTAATTATTATAAGTTATAATTATAAAAAATATCAAAGTATATAATTACAAAGACAACTCATATATATTATTATAAAAACTAACAAATATATAAAGTACTATTAGCACAAAAATTATTCTTTAGACGTTGGACTTTGACTATTCTATTTAAATTGATATTTTTTTTTGTGTAATCGATTAACAAAGAGCTTGTACTTTCTTTTGAATAGTTCCATACGTATAAAGTGTTATATGATATAATTAAGATGTTTCATAAAAAATCAAAGTTAGTATATGTAAGCTACCATCGTATAAAATTGTGGCTATTGATTTACAATAACATAAAATTTAGATATAGTACGGTAAAAAAATTATTGTTTTTTCCATGTTTGATTCTCAATATTTAATTACTTATTCTGCAAGTCATTTTCTAAAATCTAGCAGTAAACATTAATGAATAAGAATAGTATGATAAAATAGATATGACAATATTTTTTTAATGATCGTAACAAATTCAAATATGACAAATATAAATTGAAATATAATTTTTTTTTTTGCGAATTTCAATAATGTACTATATTGTCAACGCTCACCCCTACTTGAATTATGGTCCCTTATAGGAAACGTCCAAAGGTGGTTGTCTTGATTTCTAGTTTGTTGTAGGTTTGTGTTATGGGTTTATTAAAAAATTGACAAATCACATAAATAGATAGTTCAAAGTTTGTTGTAGGTTTGTGTTATGGGTGTATAAAAAAATGGATAAATCACATCAAATAGATAAAATTCAAATTAAATGGAGAAAAAATGATTAGTGATTTAATTTAAGTTAATTTGTATTTTGAAAAAAATGATCATAATTGATTTAGTTTTACTTTTAACTTAAAAAAGAGTCTCATCCAACCAAATCAACTCAATTAATATGCATACATTTTAATTTATTGTAACATAATTTATAAACATTTCTAAAGGTTTTACATTTTTTTAAAATTATTAGAATTTTGAATGATGCAATAAGTATTATAGCTCATAGTTGTAAATAAGTCATATAAAGTCTAAATCAATGCTAATATTAATTAACAAAGAAGTGTCAATTCAAACGCTACGAATGATAGTAATGTTGAATATCTTTCTATTGATCCATTTGAATTACCAAATACCAACTAATCATATTGATCTGGTGATAAATTTTAATTTAATTGATCGAAACATATTATTTACAAACTTCAATGTAATGTACAAGTTATGATTCCTCCCCCATCTCACCATTCTCTTTTGCCGTCCAAATGGAATGATTTTGAGTTCTCTCATTAGAATATTAATAGGATATGGCATATACAATTTTGTTTAATTCCACAAAGTGTGGGTTTTGAGAGGGTAAAGATGTTTCTAATAGACTCTTACGAAAAATATGGATCTAGCATATATTAATTGCAATAACTTGCAGATTGTGATACTGTAAGAAAGGTCTGTGCAGCATTTTTACTTAACATATAGAATAAGATAGTACATGATACTATGTATCATAAAACTTATTCTTGTAAAATCAAAAGACATATATCAAATTTCATCAACACCGATGAACTTCTGGTCTAATGACCCAACATAAAGTTTGCAGTTATGTTCTTGAACTTCAGTTAACCCATTAATACCCTTAAATTGAGCTGTAAAATCGCGTGTTTCCACGACTTCCCCTTTCTCATTCATCCTTTGTCCTGTTGAAATTATGGCGGGAATGATCAAGTACTTTAATTTAATACTGCAACAGCTACCCAAAAATCTCCCAACTCAGTCCTCTTAATGTTATCTGGATTTCCATCAATGTTTGCGAAAACATCTGATGAATTTGCTTTTGCACCTATTAGCCAAAACCTCCGTATTTTTTTAGCAATAGTTTCTGAGACTAGTAAATATGATTTGTCTTTGTTGAGTGCTATCCCTGCTGGTCCTGAAAGTTTATTTAGTAATAATGTGACTTGTTTTGTTGCTATATCGTACTTGAACAATCTCCCTGTTGTATCTCCGCTTAAAGCAATTAGAAGCCCGTTGCTGTTGACAGCACAATTCAATTTAAAATTTCAAAACAAAACATAAGTTAGCTTTCAAACATTCTTGTTTCAATTTCAACTTTGAATATTCTCATTTTTGACATGAGACACGTTTTAGAACGACTAACCCAGTCCGGAATATGGCTCCTGAATCTACAAAATAAATGATTCCCATTTCCTGGTCGATGTCTAGTGAGTCGAGAAAGGCAAAAGGTGCGCCCTCAAAGCTAGTAGCTACTGGTGTAACGAGCCCTCCGCTTGGTTTAGCCATCACGAGTCCATAATATGCATCAGTTATGTAGAGGTCACCAGTTTTGTCGTAAAACCCAAGGCCATATGGTCTTCCACATACTAGTTGTGATATTGGGTCATTTGTGCCATCACATCTTTTCTTGGTCCTAAACATACATAATGTATGACAAAAATTATCAGTCTTTGAGAAAAGAAGGATATGCACTACAAAAATTAGCTATGAACTTCGTTGCTAATCTGTCACTAAATTATGAGTTTTGTTGTTTAGCTACAAAATTTATCTATAAGGTGAAAGTTCAGGTAGCCAACCAACTAAACTACTAAGATTTTCCTATGGATTTTATCTATTGCTAGCTAATTTCTGTTTTAGTTTAATAGTGGATAAGGGAAAGATCAAGCTTAGAATTGGAATTCAATTACCTATTTGGTGATGTAATTGCAAATTCAGTGAAGCCAACATTTGGATCTTGATATTTGATTACTCTGCCATCTCCAACACATGCATAAGGTCCGTCGCCTTTTGGATCGAAAGCAGCAGAGTCAGGCCCTGAGGTTTGTAATTTAAGTTGGAGAGTTGAAAATGTGCAATGGACAAGGTAAAATGAGACATTTAGCAATATTAAAATCTGGAGAATTAGAAATATTGTTTTTCTTGTAACTAAAATTATTTCCATGTGTATGTTGTATCAAATTGAATAACCAAATGTTGATACTTATACTGGCAATTGCTCAAAACCCTAGTCTCTCTTATTTGTTAACTTCCTCTGTTATATCTACAGGTAGAACTAGAGTGTGGAAGGGGTTTATCTGAAATTCCTTGTACGGAAAATTACCGGGGACATGACCTTAGACAGGAGGTTATGAAGGACATGGATTGGGGTAGGAGGTGTTGTCTCGCTTGTTCTTCCATACTAGTCGTAGTGTTACTGTTGTAGTTCTGTCCTTTTGTGTTTGGTTTTTATTAGTGGAGAGTTATATGTAGTTCGATTATCATTTTATTTTGTTATGACTACTGTTCAGGACTATTTGTTAGGTCTTCTATTGTATTTTGTCATGATTGTCTATGATATTTCTTTTTCTATACTGCTTTGGACTGTTTTTTCTTGAGCTGATAGTTTATGGTAATGCGTTCTCTACCATTAAGATAGTGGTAATTCTACACTCTACTCTCTCTACAAACCACTTTGTGGGATTACAGTGGATATATGTTGGTTTCTGTTAATGTTGCAAATAGTTGCTTGATCATTAATTCATAATTTCAAATATTTTAGGTAAAAATATGGAGCACTTTCAATTGCTTTCAACCGTAGGAAACTTCATATATACATATAGAGAGGGATGGGGAGGAAGATTCTTCAAAGTGCTCTTTTCACGCGTGAATATTTATAGAGAATCAACAAGTAACTAACATACCTTTTCGAGAATAGAAAAAAAAGAAGGTGTCAGTTCGATGAACAAAGCTAACCGCGTTAGTAGAGTGTAAGAAGCTGATCTGATTACACCTTTTCGCAACGAATTGGCGTATCTCTTAAAGAAGGGGTTAACACCTAGCCAGATTAGTTCGTATTAACTTCTAATTAAATACTCCGCAGGACCACTGCCAACAATAACTAGATCAGCAACATTTTTTTTTCGTGTAGAAAATGCTTATTCTTGTAAACATACATAAAGCTGCCTGAATCATAAAAAGCTTATTCTAGTGAAAACAGAAGACATACATCAAATTAAACATCATCAACACCAATGAAGTTCTGGTCTAAAGACCCAATATAAAGTTTGTCATTATATTCTTGAACTTCAGTTATCCCATTAAAACTCATATATTGAGCTGTGAAATCACGCGTTTCCACTAATTTTCCTGACTGATTTATCCTTTGTCCTGTCGAAATTATGGTGGGAATGATCAACACCTTTGTTTTCACGGTGACAACAGCAACCCAAAAATCTCCGGACACAGTCCGCTTAATGTTATCTGGATTTCCATCAATGTTAGCGAAAACATCAGATGAATTTGCTTTTGCACCTTTCAGCCAAAATCTCCGAATTCTTTTACCAATAGCTTCCGAGACTAATAAAAATGATTTGTCTTTGCTGAGTGCTATCCCTGCTGGCCCTGAAAGTTTATTTAGTAATAACGTGACTTGTTTCGTTGCTATATCATACTTGAACAATCTCCCTGTTGTATCTCCACTTAAAGCTATTAGTACTCTGTTGCTGCTCAGTTTTTCAAAAGATGAAATAAAATTAGTTAAATGCAATATTGACAAATATGAATGGACTTTGAGCCTAATTTTCAATTAAAAGTTTTAGAGTGACGAACCCAGTTCGGAATATGGCTCCTGAATCTATAAAATAAATGACTCCCTCTTCCTGGTCGATGTCTAGTGAGTCGAGAAAGGAAAAAGGCGTGCCCTCGAAGCTTGTAACAAGTGGTGTAGCGAGCCCTCCGCTTGGTTTAACCACCAACAGGCCATAATATGCATCAGTTATGTATAGATCACCAGTTTTGTTGTAAAATCCAAGGCCATACGGTCTTCCACAAGAAATTTGTGATATTGGGTCGTTTGTGCCATTACATATTTGTTTGGTCCTAAACATACATAATATATACGAAAATTTGTCAGTCGCTAATTCCTATTTTGTTAAAAAGATCAAGGTTAGAAATGGAATTTAATAACCTATTCGGTGATGTAATAGCAAATTCAGTGAAGCCAACATTTGGACCTTGATATTTCATTACTCTGCCATCTCCAACACCGGTGTAAGGTCCGACACCTTTTGTGTCGAAAGCAGAAGAGTCAGGGCCAAAGGCTTGTAATGGAAGTTGGAGTCGTGAAAATGCACAATGAACAAGGTAAGGTGAGGCATTTAAGAATATAAGAATCTGGAGAATTAGGAACATTGCTTTTGTAATTAAGATTATTCCCATGTTTGTTTGTGTTGTATCAATAACATAATCAACTGTTGATATTTATACTACCAATTGCTCCACAGGGTGCTAGGGGTTTATCAAAATTAATTTAATTTAATTTTAAAAATTAATGAAATCAGATTCTTGAAAAATGCAAATGGAGTATAATTCTAAATTTACTGCTATGAAACTCTATAAATTAAATGAAAGCCGTAAGATCTATATAGCCACAACGATAACGTGGCAAAATTAAGTTACCAAACGTATATTTCCCTGAGGAACCATTTCAAAATCCTAGTTACAGTAACTTTCCAGGCATAAGTGTGGTTCCATCGGAACTGGAAGAAATACGTATTAATTTTTTTATTTTATTTACGTTTAGTCTTTTTAAATTAAAATGTATTTTTCTTTTGATGCAATTTTTGAAATTTAATCTTTCACGTGATTTGTTTAAGATTATAAATTTAAAATATATTTTATTTTTATGATAGATTTTAAGATTCAAAAACTTTCTTTTTTCTTTTTAAAACTATGTATTAATTTAAAATCAAACAAACAAATAAAAAAGAAGACGTAATTACTTTTACAATGGTTACAAAGTAATGTGGTTAATTTGGTGACTTATTTTTTCTAGCCAGTTGCTAAAAAAGTAAAATCCGTAAAGATTTATTGGCAAAACAAAGAAAAAAACAAAGGGAACAATGGGTTTCGTTTCCCTTTGTATTTTTCGAGTAGGCTCAAAACATGGGGTGATTTCATTAAAAAAACTACATAATATGAAAAATTTTAATATACATTTAAATAATATAGCTATAGTTTAATTTTTTATGTTATATGACTATAATTATACAATAAATAACTTATTTAATCGTATATTAATAATTGTTTTTTATATATTTAATATAAAAAAATAATAAATAGAAAAATTAATATTAAACTCATGATTAATTATGTATTCATATCTTCTCTTTCATCAATATCCTTATATTATAGATTTTTTTGTATTTTTGTCTCAATTCCTTCCAATTCAAGATCCTTTTGTATGATTGTAGGAGTGATTTTTGTGGTTCAATTCATTATATTTATATATATACTTATATTTATGGTTTAATCAAATGTCAAATATTTATATTTAATAATACTTATATACATTATAATTTTGAAATTCAAAGTTTTCGTCAATTTTGAACCAAAATGGAAAGGATCTTTAATGACTGGAGAATAATTTAGAATCTCAAAATTTTTGATACTCTTGAATCAAAATCGAAAAGATATTTGATGAACTTGAAGATTTACAAAAGAAATCGTTTGTCCAACAATAATTTCATACAATCCTTCATAACTCATCCCGCTTTTCAAAATTTCGACATATTTTTTTATGAAACAGAGAGAACGATGAACAAGAAGAAGAAATTTATTTTTTTGATATTTTTGGATTGTTACACTATATGATTTTGAATTCTTGATAATAATTTTGAATGAAATAACGTAATTTTGTGGAATCTTAATTTAATTTTCAGTTTTTCCCCTTAATTAGTGAAACAAATGGATACTATGAGATTTTAAATTGATTTTACAGTTTTTTTTCCTTAATTAACAGATTGATACATAATATATCAACAATAATATATCCGAATTATCTGAAATATCTAAAAAATATGAAATTTATATAATTATAAAAATAATAGAAATAAAAGGTAATTTAGATTTTTACACTATGATATTTACGGAAGTTATACATTAAAATTTATGTCCCATAAGCAGCATACATCAATTCATGATAAAATCTGTTCAACTAAGCCGAATATTCAAAAACACCCCTTATGGAACCCATAAAAGCCCCACTTGAATTTTTTTTTGACTTGGCCTTAAACCCTAGTGGTTTATCAAATTCCAATTTCTCCCCAATTCGTTAAACCCTAGGCCGACGTTCAAGAGAGAGATGGGTGGTAGTGATAGCGAAGTAGAGAAAACGGCACAAAAAGATACGGAGAGAAAGAAGCTATTGGCTGTCGCCCCTATTGCTAAACCACTCGCTGGAAAAAAAAAACTCAGCAAACGAACCTTCAAACTCGATAGACGAGGTATCCATAATCATTATTTTACTCTTTTTGTGATGTTGTGTAATCGCCATTCTTCTGTTTTCAGTTACGGAACATAAATGCTTGAAGAGAGGAGTTAAAGAAGTAGTGAAAAGTATTCGACGCGGTCAGTCCACTTTTTCTCTCATTGAATTCATAGTCAAAATTAAACTGTCTCAAAATTAAATACGAATACCGAAAGAAATAAATTTGAATCTAATTCAGCCTCAAAAAGTTAATCACGGAAGTGGTACGTCTTTCATAAAATCAAAATTGAGTTGTGGTGAGCATGAGATGAAAACTGGAAAATTGTGTATTTTTTTTTTTATGATTGTCCTCAGTCTGTAGTAGGATAGTCCTGTAGTGTTTAGATCTAGCCTCATGCTTTAGAATAGATGGACAAGTACTTCTAGCCCTAGGCCAAACCTGAGTTCCGTGCTATAATGCCCCTGGAATGTTAGGGTTTTGGGGTTTGGTTTGGATAATTTTTTTATTAAAATATAAAAATTAAATTAAAGTGATATTTATATTTCTAAAATCAAATAAAAACAATCGATTTGGTTCGATTTATTACTTGATGATGATAAATGATAATAGTAAAATAAAATAGACATGTGATAACTATTTTAAATGAACATTAGGAATCAACATTTCTCTTTACTATAACAAGATGATGGAAAAACCTCCTCTTCACATGTCTAATATCCACGAAAACAATATACTAAAACATTAAATAGATGTTCTAGTCCTTCGAAAATCAGGGCAAAACCAATGAAGAGTGAGCAGATAAATGTCTTAGCAAAGAAAATTTAGAGGGTGTTTGGATAGGCGTCTGATAAATCTACTTTTAAGTCAGTTTTTAACATTCGAAAGTGTTTGATAAATATAAAAAATAATTTACCATAGGTTTAAAATGACTTAAAATATATTACGAAGTGTTGGCAAGTTATAGGGTGTTTGTATTGACTTAAAAGTTGGTCAAACCTATTTTAAGTCGTTTTTTTTTTACTTCGGAAAGTGTTAAGACAAATATAAAATCAATTTCAAATAAGTTAGAAAGTATTAGGCAAAACTTAAAAATAAATTTATAATGACAAAACAAATTAAAAATATAAAAATAACACTTCACACACATTTAAGATAATAAATATCAAGTTATAAACATACTTTTTAAAAATAAACTACTTATAGCATATCATTATCGAATTATAGCATATCAAGAAAAAATATATTAAAAAAATTTATAATTAATTATTTCAATAATAATTTATTTATTTAAATAATTACATTAATTTTTTCAGTTACCTTTTTTAAAACAAACTCTTTAATTTTTTATGATACAGTTACCTTTTAAATTACATTTTAAAGTTTTAACAATTTAAAATAAAACAAATTACTATTAGCTAAATTAAACATTATGTAGTTACCTTTATAAAGACAATTACAAAATAATAGGGGATTTGATTACACCCCTAATAACTATCCACCACCATCTAAACCAATACAAGATAATATTTCTCTCATTACACTCAACCCATACACGCCCTATTAGCCTAAAAATATCACCAGATTTTCACCGGAACCGCCACACGCATAAAAAAATTCATCTTTCCCAAATCTTCTACATACACGCCTAAAAACATCATCATATTCACCTACGTCGTCGCACACCTAAACATTCATTTTCACCAAATCTACTGTTTTTTACGAAAATCTTTCACATTTTCACTCACATATCAGTTCATCCCAAAATTAAACCTTCATACTTAGCATCTATACAATGTCGAAGAGAGATAGTGAAATCCCACGTAAAAGTAGGAGATTGAACGATGAGTTAAGATGTGAGGGCTTTCATGCTCCCTCTTTCAACATTTTGTCACAAACTCAAACTCAAACATCAACTGCAAAAGAGAAGTCTAGGTCAGAAAAATCGAAAATGAAAAAAAAAGAGGCAAAGGAAATCAGAAAGAAGAGAAAAAAGGAAAAGAAAAACAAATCTCCTGTGAATCTGAGAAAGAGGCAAAGGAAAGAGGGAAGAAGAGAAAAGGAAAAGAAATTCAATACTCATCAGATTCTGAGTCTGATTTTGTTGATGAGTTCATAAATTCAAAATAAAAAAAAGCAAGAGGTACTGAAATTGGTAGGTCACAGATAAAAGCAAGAAATAAACCAAAAAAAATTGTAAAGGTTAGTAAAAGATTTTTTTGAAATTTAAATTAAAATAGTCTGTTTAATTTTGATTTTAATTGTCAGTAATATAGTACATGATTTATGTTGTGTTATTTGTGTATAAAATAATTAATATTTTTTTTATTATAGGAGTGTATGAATTAGTGTATTAAGTTTGTATAAAATGCTATATTGTTTTATTACACTATCAATGTATGAATAATGTATCAATGTTGTATATTTTTGACTATTACTATACATATTAAAACTAAATAGTTTATGCTTTGGTTTTTGTGTATTATTTTTGTATGAATTGTGTATGAACTGATATACATTTTTTGTATGAGTTGAATTGAATGCCCATTCAATATAGAAGTTTTTTATGATTGTATATGACATTATATAGTATGATAAACGTATTAATTTGATTTTAAAAAATTTTTAGGAGAAGAAAACACAAACACATTTGTCTTCATGCATTAAAATGAATGTGTTTGCGAATCTGTTGACCTTTCTAGGTCAAGAAAAGTTTCAACAATTCTTAAAAGAAACATTGTTTCGATTTTTTTTATAATTTGCATAATATAAAAATCCAATGTCAATTGTTAAGACACATATTTCTTCTTGAAAATGAAAATTTAGGGATAACATGTTTGTTATAAATGTACCAATTAGAAATATAATTTACAACTTATTTTATTATATTCTATAATCAGAAAATTAAATAGGATAAAAATTACCTCCCGAATCTATTGTGCTGGCAGTTAACATTGTACTACCATATGAACATTTTAATCCTGCCCCATCAACAACTACAATTGGCCTACAATATTCTCAACCTCTAATACAAGCTTCTAACGCAACAAATGCGTATAAAAATTTGTCAGCTTCTTTCCTTTTAATTTTCAAAACGAATCCTGGATATGTTTGCTCCAAAATGTAAAAATAACCTGAAATATAACGGTCCAAATCATACAAAAAAAATATACATAAAGAATACACGAAAAGAGATTAGTCCAATTCAGTAGGTAATCTTTAAATTCATTCTTATTTCAACATTACCGGGTAATCTTGCATATGACTCTGCTGGATCTCCGCGCACCAACTTTATTGCGTTTTCTTTAGCTCTCCATTCCTGTATGTACGTCAACGAAACGCAATGCAATTTCAACATATCATCAACTATATCTTTTGGAGTATATAACAGATGGATCAATATACTTTTCCATTATCAAGACAACTACAACGTCAGTTATCCCCTGACGTCTGGTATAAACTCTTTCTCTAACAGAACAAGTGTGCTGAGGAATATACTTCCTAACTTTGAATAAATTTGATTTATTCAAACTAGATGCCCTCATCATCCAAGAACAAGTTTTAGAAATACAATTCAGGTGATAACTGTTTCGAAATTAAGAAAATATACATTACAATTATGTACAGTGAAACAAATCAAATAAAAAAAATAATTTAAAAAAGTTTTATACACTTACTTAGATGCATTATAACGCGCAACATGACAACTGAATTTTTCAACAAGTTCAACTTTCCTCATAACCTCCTTAAGTGTTTCTCTATTATTATAAATCTGATTATCAGCTACAAATAGGTTGAAATGGTCACATATTACATCATTATCTATATCACTATTATCATTGACAACTCCGTCTAAATTCATTCCGATCAAACGGATAGAATTGTTGGAGTACAAATCAATGTTAGTTTGTGATAATCTAACATCAGAATTTATTCTATCAATAATAACAACTCTATGACCTTCATTATACATCTTACGATCTTTCAAAGTGATGCATAATGGATATTTTGTAAAGAAATTCAAATTCATCCTCATCTGACCTAGAAAAACCTTTACCCCAATATTAATAGGTGGAAGTATCATATAGGATGCCCTCCATCTCAATGTCGACATATTTTCCTGTTTAACAACATTAAAATTACATTTAGTGCACCACACTATAAAATCACGAAATAAGTCATACAAAATTCATACACAATTAATATATCATTCACTGCTATAACAGATCAAAAAATTTACGTGGGATTTCACTACCTCTCTTCCACATTGTATAGATGCTAAGTATGAAGGTTTAATTTTGGGATGAACAGATAAGTGAGTGAAAATGTGGAAGATTTTCATAAAAAACAATAGATTTGGTGAAGATGAATGTTTAGGCGTGCGGCGATATGGATAAATATGGTGATGTTTTTAGGCGTGTATGTAGAAGATTTGGGGAAGAACAGTAAATTTGGGGAAGATGAATTTTTTTATGTGTGTGGCGGTTCCGGTGAAAATCTGGTGATACTTTTAGGCGTGTAAGGGTTGAATGTAATGAGGGAATATTATCTTGTATTGGTTTAGATGGTGATGGGTAGTTATTAGGGTGTAATCAAATCCCTATTATTTTGTAATTATCTTTAAAAAGGTAACTACATTAACTAATGATAATTTGTTTTATTTTAAATTGTTTAAACTTTAAAATGTAATCTAAGAGGTAACTGTATCAGTAAAAAATTAAAGAGTTTGGTTTAAAAAAGGTAACTGAAAAAATTAATGTAATTAAATAGTTTGATTTAAAAAAGATAACTGAAGAAATAAAGGTAATTATTTAAATAAATTAATTATTATTTAAATAATTAATTATAATTTTTTTAAAAATATATTTTTTTCTTGATATGCTATAATTCGATAATAATATGCTATAAGTAGTTTATTTTTTAAAAGTATGTTTATAACTTGATATTTATTATGTTAAATGTGTGTGGAGTGTTATTTTTATATTCTTTTTATTCGATTTGGTTTGGTTTTTCACCAAACTGTGGACACCCCTGCTGAAATGATATTGAAATACCCTTACATAAAGAGCTGGCTATATAATTACGACTTACGCAGTAAGAATAGCTAGTGTGTAAATTTTAGGCTTTTTAGTTACTCCAGACTCTTAAGTCTTAATTGAAGCCATTAAATCAATGTACCTAATTGTCGGTAAAGAGTCAGTACCTTGTTAGCTGCTCTGTAGCATAGCCCATAAGCACTTGTACAATCAATTCCACACCTAGCAAATTTTGCTCAAAGGTAAATTTTCTACCCTGAAATATTTGTGACATGAATTTGTCTACATGCCATTTTTGTGAATTAACAAGCTTATGAAACATCATATTTCTTCTGGGAACTGCAGATTGTGTGTCATAGCTGGAAACATTTCTCCTATCGATGTCATTACTCACGTTCCACCTCCTATGTGAGGAAGCTGATATGCCATACGTTTATGTTCCTTCAAAAGAAGCTGAAGTTTTTATCTCACACACACACTTACTACTATTACATTCTTGATATGTTATCCTGCAAGTTACTTCCGTGATCATGATAAATCTTTGCATTCAGGATCTTGCAAGTGCTGGAGCCACTAAGAGGCCAACTTGCTGCGTTTTGGTATCGACAAAGCCTACTAAGGGGGAACTTGGGCAGGAAGTTCAAGAGAAACTGTAGGAAGAGTACGATCAAGTTGTATAGGAAATTCAAGAAACAACTTCCTCCTTGTTTCGATAGACTGAATGATGATCTATTGATGGTTTCACTTAATTGCCCTCTACTTAGTTTAGGAACATGTTTATGTATCTGCCATTTATTTACGTTACCATTCAATCATCTAACTGACAGCTGATAAGTAACAAGACATAAAGAATGAAAGATCAGTCGATTTTTACCCTAACTTGATCAGAAATTCATGAAACATATCCACGAAACAACAAAAATTAATGAGGATATCAAAACAAAAGACCGAACAAAGAAATATTCGCTCCATCTGTTAGAGACAATTACTTCATCTTATTCATGTATGTATTGGTTCATCAAACATACCAAGGCTAGAAACATGCATCTACACTGTTAAAATTTTCTATTAATATATGTACATCTTCTACGTAGTTAACTGTTTCATTAGCCATAGTTGGTTCAGTTATTTTTGAGACAAGGTCCTGAACGAGCATAGTTAACTTTTTCAGTAGCCATAGCCGATTCAGTTATTTTTGAGATAAGGTCCTGAACAAGAAGATACCTACACCGCCAACAGCAAGGGTAAGAAGCAGAGGAACACCAATCCATTCAACAACTTCAGCCATCCCCTCGGTCCTATCCGTTCTCCCTAGGCGAGATCCATTGAGCTCACGGAGGATATTGCTCAGATTGTCCATCTGATGCATGATCTGACGCTGTGATCTCCCAATGAGAAGTACCTGCTCCCAATTATGTTTGCATCAGAAGCATAATTGTCTAATCAATTTCTCAATATTCTTCAGACAAATGTGTTGAATCTGGACTATGGTTGTTTTCAGAGAAACTTTTAGTTCGTGGAAACATAAGTTATTAACACCCAATGCAGTCTCAAGTACAATAATAGCATACCCAATGTAATCCCACAAGTGGGGGTCTAGGGAGGGGTAGTGTGTATGCAACCTTACCCCTACCTTTTGAAGACAGAGTGGATGTTTCTCATAGACCCTCGACTCAAGTAATGATAAGGAAAATCATCACAGTAAATATTAACGATGCAATTGAAAGTTCTGGTGCCTAGATTGGCAAATCAATTGAAGTTTTCTATTAAACTGGCGAACAATGTAAAAATGATGGATCAAAGAAAACACTCGTGCACTCTCTAGTGTTCTTTGTGAGATAAAAGAATTATTTTCAAATGGATAAATTATGCAATAACCAAATTCACTCTAAAAATTGGTCATATTGAGTGAGAAGGCAAAAATTGGACAACTATTGGGAGAGTATATCAAACTACCCGCATGCCTCCTTTTGTCTCTACTTAATGCAAAAAAGATGAGCACGGGATGATCGTATTATACCTCTTCCATTAGTGAAGACTCTCTTGCCAGTTGGGAAGATGATGATGAATGAGGTAAAAGAGAACCAGCCAACGAGCCATTGCCTAACCCACCCACAAAAAGAGAAGTGGGTCCAGACCCATTGCAAGACTCAGTGTGCACTGCCAAATTTTGTTGGCTAGCAGAAACTTTATTGGCAGATATTTTTAAGTTTAGCTCTTCAATCCGAGATGTGAACTCATCCATTCGCTCGCTCAATGTTGAAATTTGCTCTGTAAGTTGAGAAACAACTCCCTGAAAAAAGGCAATTCTTGAGTGATTGAGGGAAAGAAGGAACAAAAAAGGTTAATGTAAGATTGAGCATATTATAAACAATTCAGCATAAGTGGGACGTACTGGTAGTAAATTGATTTCTCTTCTGATGTATAAGAAATATGGAATTAAGCAGGAAAACCCGCACACATATTCTGCTGGACATTAGGAATATATGAAACAACATTCACGTTTTTTGTTCTTGCTTAAATTGGTAACATACAACATATAAAAAGAAGAATATTTGGCCCAAAAAAATGTAACTCATTGTACTTTAGAGTATCCCCGTGCACATTAAAAGTATTTTCCACTCTCTTAGCAGATAAAGTTTCCAGTACCAAGTCTCCATATCAATGAAACAAAGTAATTTTTTATGTTTTTTGCGAACATGAATGGATTATTTTTTTAAAAAATAATGATTAACATAATTTAATTGATGAAACAATATGGCTACAATTCAGTTTGCTCCCTTGATTATTATTCTCTCTTGATTATCTCTGTGATTTGAGGGATGAAGCAGCATGTATTTCTCGACTAGGATGATGCGGATTCAATTTCCATGAGAAAAATGATTCCAACAGTTAGGACATTTCATTGATATATATTCCCTATTCCTAGTTGCTGTTTTACAGAATACTGGAAAGAGTGGGACAAGGCATTCAAATATTCCTGCCGATGTATTTTGACACCCCACAGCTTCAGCAGATCGCTTAGCCCTGTTCATTTTCGGCACAAGAGCGCTCGATTAGTGAGATGTTACACACTCGTTCAAGGGTGTATAAACACTTAAAAGATTTATAGGACTTGAATTAAAGTCTCTTCTCAATATTTTATTAATTAAACAAGCAAATATGCTTTCTGTACATCTATACGAACAACTGTAAATCATAAAAAAAGACTTGCTGTTTTGCATGATTAAAAAGGGATCCATCAGCTTTTAGCAGGAATTTCCAGTCACGATCCCCAGGGTTGCCAGCTTATCATCATTTTACTTCCTTTTCAAAGTTACAAAGTCAACTTACTTTGCTGGTTCTGCAGATGACGAGATCCTAGTGTGTTTTCTTAACTCCTACATGAAGGACTCATTTCATTCTACTGAACAAACTTTCAGCAGGATTCTATTTCCAAACATCCAAGCAAATGTAAATCTTTCCACAGGTTAGTTGGTTTGAGTTACGGCTTACACCATTCTGATGTAAGGGAATATTTAAATTACCAAAAGACTTGATAGCATGTAGCTGTTGTCAAGGGTGTGGTTATGAGTTCATGCTGGTAGTGGAGAGAAATGAGCAGGAAAGGGTGATATCATTCTTGAGTATCAATAAGAATCGATTAATGGTGTTCAGAATTGGTATATCACTTGTATACAGCCAAGTTGACCTTGTTACTATCCTTACCAAAAAAGTTGGCCTTGTTACTACCAATGAAACCTTTTACTTGATTTAAAAAAATGGTGTTCAGAAAATGATCTAAGACGGTGGATGGAACTCTTTCCCTTTTCCTGGAGTAAATTATTATATTAAAGCTAAAGTTGCGCAACTATGTCAAACAGATGCCCCCAAGTAGGGTAAATGAGAGTCAGTTCACACACCAAATATAACGTTAATATGTAGCCAAAATTATGGAGATACAAGATTATTTTAAAAAATGAACCTATTGCTCCGAATAATTACCTGATTAGCCACTGGCGCTGGAGAATCAGGGGTTCTTCCGTCATATCTTCTAGTATTAACCGCAAGTTTTGTCAGCTTGGACAGGTGTTTTTCTCGTTGTGTTGAGTATGAATGTGGAATACCACTGCCAATAGTTACAGGCGAACAGATAATGCTTTTCCGTTGCATGACTTTTGCAGAAATACGCAAGTGATGATTGTAAAAAGTAAAAACATCCAAACAATACCTATAGAATACTTTGAGAAGCAGATAACAATTTAGCCTATGACCTACCGATTAAGAAACTTTGTTCTCCTATCTGCAGAGGCTCGGGATAAAGCTTCTCTAGGGCTTGAGACCAAATCATCATCTATGCTCAGCTTTGTCTTCAGATCATCTGGCAATGCCTGCATGGACTATAATATTGAGAACCAGGAACAAATAACAATGGAAAATTTGGTATTCAACTAAAATTTAACGCACCATAACATCATTTAAAAGCTTCTCTAGCTGAATTTGTTCGATGTAAGTGCGAGGAACATATGAACCATCCAAACCCAGCGAGTCGGCAACATATTTTACATGTAAGCGATCTCTTCCTTGCACCTTCATAAGGGAAAAAACGTAGTTAATGATAGTAATTAACTCCCGAGGCTATACAATGCCAGAGTTGAGAAAGAGGAAACTCATTCTCACATACTGTCTTCAGCAAAAGGAAGATTTAAAAATGAACTCACACATTCATCAGAATATTTCTTCATTGATATTTGTTGAACTTCTTTAACTGAGGTTTTAGGGAACTCCTCCTTTCCCCTTATAAAGGGTCCCTTTACTTCATTTTTCATCATGCTTCATGTCACGTTTATAATTTTTTAAGTCAAACAAGAGTTTAAGGTAAACACTTCAATGATAATGATGAGCAAGCATTGTATCCAAACTGGATATTTCTCCAAAATACAATCCTTATATTTGTCTCAACCCAAAAAATCGACGTTGCTTCCAGTAGATTAATAAAATAGCAACTTAGCCGATTGTGCCATGCACAAGCCTCAAAAAACATTTAATTATCCACAGCCTTAGCCACATTCTAAGTCTAATACTTGGCTAGGTACAGCCTTAAAGAGATTTGTTAGGAGGTTACGACACATATCTTTACCTGAACTCCAGATGAAATAAAATTAACCCAAATTCCCAAAAACAAGAGACAGATAAGAAGGCAAGAAATTCTGCTTCGCAATCACATGATTCAAGCATTTAAAGTAAATTATAGTAAGATGAGATGAGAGCGACTTAGTAATTAGTGATTGTCATACCTGAACATACCGGCGATTAAGTTGCTCCAACCAATCTGTTTTCACACAAACTTTGTCATCAGAGAAGATGTGGCTGCTCCTTTTCAAAATGGTTGCAATTGAATATCCTAATGCCATCAACCCACCAAGAAGCCGTACACTGACCTCAAAGGTGATTCTTGGTGATATTATAAAGGG